CCCCAAAACCCCAAAACCCCAAAACCCCAAAACCCCAAATATTATTATGCAGGTTGAAATAAACATGAGAGGGCTAGAAGCGACCAGAGTGCAAGAGAGGGGCTGGGAATGGAGTAAGGGAGAGAAGAAGGATTGGGGGTCTGGGAGGGGAGATAGGGGAAATTGGAAAGAGAGGGTGTGGTATGGGGGTTTGGGGGAGTTGTACGGTAGTTTTAGGAGGGGTAAGGGAGGGTGAGGTTAATTTATGGGGAAATTTTTTGAATTATTGATGAATTTTAGTAGTCGCTATTAATTACATGCTCTTGCCCTTTTGATTGACTTTTCTTCAGAGATAATACAAAGATATGGGAGAATTATAAAATTAAGCAAAATCAACCTAACTTTATCAATGTTTTAGGCCAGATTATTGTTCCTTCCTGCATACTTTCGGTTATGTTCAATGACTGGCAATCGATGAGAAGTCTGCAGTTTGGAATAATTAGACACTTGAGAAATACTAAGAACAAAAATTTCCTATTAATAAGCTTATTTCATCCAGCTTTAGGTTCATTTTCAAGTCTTGGCTCCTTGGTGATAAAGCATAAAAACTTGTTCATTATTAACAACAAGTTATAAATGAATCGAACTGTCATGCTATTGTATATTTCTGGTAATGCTTCCATTTAGGAACCAATAGAAGAGGAAATTCAGGTCTGAAATCAACCCTGAACTAGTTAATATTTTTCGGATATCATCTCCCTTTATCATTAAAATACCTCTTAAGTTAGGACAAGAGGAATAAAAAACTTTCCAATTTTTAAATGATAATTAAATTTTCCTAAAGGAATCCCAATTTGATCAGGATTTTGGGAAGAATTTCTAAATCTAGCCTTATCTCTATCTTCCGGGCTTAACCTATCGGCTTATATCCACACCTGGTCTAGAGAGGTTATTATACTCGTTATTTTAATCTTAAAGCAGTAAGAACAACAGAATACGTCGAATGAACTGCTGTTGACAATTATTAGTTTTGTTAATTTTTGATACGATTTTTTACACAAAATCTTGATACGATAAAATTTTATTGTATGAATAGATATATTTTTTCTTTTATTAATTATTGCCCGGAGAAACGTCTCCCATGGTTACAAAGATCTCCTGAGAGTCCTCTCCATTTGAGACTGAGTCTTCATCATTTTCATCAAAAGATATCCTCAGTGGATCTTCTCCATGAATAGGTGATTTAGCACCTCTTGAGAAGGAACAAAGTTCAGCTTCTTGAGGATCTTTTGCAACTTTTATGAGCAGAGGTGCTAGTTTAAAATCGTTAGAGTAAGAGCTCTGAATTCTTTTGCTCTGTGTCGTATCTTTCAGTCCAGTTTGTTTGCTCCTCTCCAATTCGGATACCTTAAGAAAGCAGTCTGCTCCACCTAGATAACCAGGATTAGGACTTCTACAGTCTCTTTCCCATCCAGGGTTTTGATAATGCTCGTCTTTCTTTTTCATGAGTTTTAAATTATCTCAAAGTACTCTCTGAGTAGAGGAATGTTCAAAATGGGTAAGGTTAAAGAAGGAATCGTCGGCCTTCTTAACAAATCCTTTGTCTAGTCAGAGCTTGCTTGACTTAGTCTTAGGACTCTTCACTGAATTCTTGGCTACGGTTTGAGGTTCTTCTCATTCCATTGGAATATCACAGTCGTCATCTATTGAGACATGCTTCATTTTAATCAGTAATTTTCTAATTAATTTTTATAAATTTGCAAAATTTATTTCCTTTATTAACTTTGCTGTTGTTTATACTGAGATTAAAGATATGCCGTAAGCAAACTTTCCAGCTAGATTTTAGGTCTTTATTAGTCTAAAGACGTTATATCCACTCTTTAGAACCAGTAAATGTAGATATCTATCCACTTCAGAGTTTTGTAAAACTTAGTCACCGGAAATTTTGAAGAAGAACATTTGAGTCAACAGATTCTTATTCCTTTATTAAACTCTATAAACTATGGTAATAAAATTATTTTCGACACTTTATTTAAAAATTTATCATTTTCCTGAAAATAATACGGTATTGCAAAGATTATGAATTCTTACAGTAAATTTTCTCATAATTTAGAAAAGATATCCAATTGTTGGAAGCGTTACCGATTGTTTAAGAACCTCACAAAGTGATACTACAAGCTTCCTCTGATTATTTTACCTAACCTATTTAGCATACCTTAATTTTAAAGAGCGAAAGCTAGCTGTAAAGAGTCAATGAGATTATACTAAAGCCTTCAATTTTGTAGCCCAGAAGTTATAAATTTAGACAAATTAGCCAGAACAGATCCATGAATCATCGTTTTGATAAATGTTTGCATTATGTTCATAACTTGGACAACTCGTAATATTCCTAATTAGTGGTCTGCTACAAAATTGTTTGTATCATTTAAATAGTCCATGTGCCCATCTGTGAATTTTAAAGAACATAATCCTGTTGACTTTTATAAAACGTTTTTGGAAAATAAGAGGATGTACAGATAAGTGGTATCAATAGTTTAACCCAATCTTCCTGTAAAAAGTAATCTACTGAGGAATAGGATTGCCCCATACAAGATGACTCATTAGCTTTGACAGCAACAGTTTAGTAAGAAATGTAAATAAACCGACCTAGAGCACAACACTCATTTGTTATCTAAGACCTGTTGTTTTGGGAGTTTAATTACAATCGCAGATAACTTTAACAAATATCCTAATTCTTCTATTGAGTTCATTAAAATTTCTCTGAAAATTTTGATACACAGCCGCCGCTTCTAAAGAAAACAGCTAAATCTTCATAAAAAATTCTTCATTTTGAGAGTACAGGCTAGGCTATGGGTCTCCTTGGTCTGCTTAGTGATCCTACTGCTGGTTTCACTTGAGTGAATGTAAGGAGAAGTGTTGTTAAGAAGAACAGGATAGTCTTTTTTGAACTTTTGAGTAGGATTAAGTAGATTTAGAGGCTTGGGAAGCAGGATTTGGGGAGAATAGGGGTGCGGAAAAGAGGTAATGTGGAGGACGGGGTTGATGTGTATTTTAGGGGTTGATGCATTTGAACTAGGAAATCCTGTGAAACTCCTTTAAAGTTATAAAATTGCTTAAAACTTATTGTATAACCTTCTCCCACCTCCAATTCTATCAAACCTATCTGCTCCACTCCATCCTCCTAAACCTACTTCCAATGCCCTCTTCCTATACCATCCTCTCTCATTCCATTTTCAACATGTCAAATAAATTAAGGGGTTTTGGGGTTTTGGGGTTTTGGGGTTTTGGGG